ACTTATATTAACTAAAACCCATATACTTAATGTTATAATAAAACGTTCTAAATTTTGAATATTTTATTGCCCTGGCTAGTTTATTACTTTTTTATATTGTCTATCTTGAAATATTATAATCTACTTAATAAATAGTTCACTAATACTATGGTATAAAAATATAAATAAATAGCAACATAATTTGGTTTGGTCCAGGTTATCCAGATTCTTTCAAATTAAAGAAACTATAAATAAACCTGTGAATAATAATTTATAACCTCTTGGATATACTTGGACCGATAAAACACCGCGTTCCGATCTAGCAAGTTATCGGATCGTTTAAAACCGGATGTCGGAGTAGTGGAGAAGCACGTAAGTACTGTTGTGAGTTTCTAAATCGGATCGGTAATTAACGTTTGCCGGAACGGAGCAGTGGAGAAACGGCCTTAGGCTTCGTTTCTTTGAAGTTTGAACGCTTCCAAGTATCCGTATACAGTTCGTGAATATTAAATAAGGTGTTTCTTTTACCATTGCTAAACGAAGTGGCGTTTGAATAATAATGTGCCCAGCTGATTCCTTCATAATATAGCAGTTGAAATTACTGAAATTAAATGATATCATATGGCAATGTATCTATTGGATAATAATCATTATAAAATCAAATTTACAAAAGTTAAAAGCAAACATATTTATTTATAAGATAATCATAGATTACTCTAGTTATTGATAGTTGATTTATTTTATACTTGTACGTATACAAGTATCGGATTGGTGGTCACCATAGACAATTTATTTTGTTACATATAATATATGTGTTCTTTAAAAATGTCAATAGGATTAACATTGTTTACAGAATTTAAATTGAATAAAATTACAAAATAAAGAACGTGTATTTTCCTTTAAAATCGTAAAGAAATTAACTAATACTGCATTTCTAAGTATTAAAAAATACACGATGCGGCCAACTAATAAAATGACCCATTTTATTTTTATATGAATATTCTCCATAATTAAGTAAGTCAACATCTTTCCTGTAACTTTTTAACGCACGCATTAACATTTGCTGGTAGTTTACTATTTAATATTAGGTACTATTAACTTATTCTATTTATAGTAAAGGAAAATTCTATTCATTTTTTAAAGTCTTTAGAATTCGTTTTAGAATACGGAACATACCAGAAGCGCTTTAAACTGAAGACATACTACATAGTAAAATTATGGCATTACATATTATTATGCCAGTGGTGCGTTATTTTCTAATTTTGTTTATTTTTAGAAAATTCTTTTCTATAAAGTTTCATAACAGTCATAAGTTGGCTCCTGTATTCTTAGGTTTCTGTATAGAAATATAATTAATATTATTGTAAAAGGAACTATTGAATAGTTTTATAACAAATCTATGCACGTAATTCGTAAATATATAAAATACGATTTAATGTTTAAAAATTTGATAGTCTTAAAAATGGGATCCAAATAAATACTAATTGAATAATATTACAATCATATAATTTGTTAAATACTGATTTATCAATTATATGTCATTTAATTAGTTATAATTATTTTTAATTTTAATTATAAGGCCCCCTTTATCTTACCTAATTTAATTCTAAGTTCAAAGCTAAAAGTTTTGCTCCTACTTCTAAAAGACTTATACTTTAATATATTTTTGACATACCGAAGTCATTTTAAGCACTCATAACTTTAAATCTTACAGTTACAATTGAAACATAAAGTTACAATGAAACACCCAAACTTTTACTTTGTCGAAGTTTAGGCAATGTCCTAGCGAGCTGCGGCGAGCCGCACCGGTTGAATGATGCGGCGCGCCGCGTCCCCTCCACGCACTCGGCGCGGTTAGCCGTCCTACCTACGTCATCACATATAATTATTTAACAAATGTAAACCTATTTTAAAAGAAAGAGTAAAAAATAAAATATGTTTATTATGGAACATAAGATACATGTATCACTTATTCCACGTCATTAAATTTGTTTTTTTTTTTTTTTTTTAATAGAACGGGGGGGCAAACGGGCAGGAGGCTCACCTGATGTTAAGTGATACCGCCGCCCATGGACACTCTCAATGCCAGAGGGCTCGCGAGTGCGTTGCCGGCCTTTTAAGAATTGGTACGCTCTTTTCTTGAAGGACCCTAAGTCGAATTGGTTCGGAAATACTTCAGTGGGCAGCTGATTCCACATAGTGGTGGTGCGCGGCAAAAACTGCCTTGAAAAACGCTCAGTTGTGGAACGGCGGACGTCGAGGTGATACGGGTGGAATTTTGTATTCTGTCTCGACGTCCGATGATGAAACTCAGCTGCAGGTATTAATCCGAACAACTCCTCTGAACACTCTCCAAGGTAAATGCGGTAGTAGATGCAGAGTGACCCCACATCTCTACGCAACGCCAAAGGATCAAGCCGCTCGGAGAGGGATTGGTCGTCGACGATTCGAACCGCTCTGCGTTGTATACGGTCAAGTGGAAGGAGCTGGTACTGGGGAGCCCCCGCCCAGAGGTGAGAGCAGTACTCCATGTGGGGCTGAATTTGCGCTTTATATAGTTGCATACGGTGGCCCGGAGTGAAGTACCGCCTCGCCTTGCTGAGCACACCAAGCTTTTTGGAGGCTAATTTAGCATTTCCCTCCAAGTGACCGCGAAACTGAACGTTCGATATGTCAACGCCAAGTATTCCAATGCTGGCTGTGGCTTTAAGAAGAGTGTTTTCGAAAAGAGGAGTAGCGACAAAGGGTGTTTTTTTAGCGGAAAACGCGCAAACTTGTGTCTTCTTGGGGTTAAATTGGACTAGGTTTTGTCTGCCCCAGTCTGAGACTCCACGTAGTAGAGTTTCGACTTCAGACACAAGTTTGTTCCGGTACTCATCAACAACTGCCCGAGAAATACCTGCCCGGCCAGTGTAAAAAGTATCCCCAGTGCTGTCATCCGCATAGCAATGTATGTTGCTAAGTTGCAACATATCATTGATATGCAAAAGAAATAGGGTCGGGGATAGAACACAGCCTTGTGGGACCCCAGCGTTCACAGGTTTAAGGTCGGAACATGCTCCGTCGATGACGACCTTGATGCTCCGATCGGCCAGAAAGCTGGAGATCCAATCGCATAATTTCTCGGGAAGCCCATAGGCTGGAAGCTTCGAGAGCAGTGCTCTGTGCCACACCCGATCGAAGGCTTTCGCTATGTCCAAACTTACCGCCAGCGCCTCCCCCTTGGACTCAATTGCCTCTGCCCACCTATGGGTAAGGTATACAAGGAGGTCACCAGCTGAGCGACCACGACGAAAGCCGTACTGAGAATCGCTAATCAACTGGTGGCCCTCTAGATACCACAAGAGCTGGCAATTAATAATGGTTTCCATTATTTTGGAGAACAAGGAGGTTATAGCTATTGGGCGATAGTTGGACGGATCAGAGCGATCGCCTTTTTTAGGGATCGGATGTATCGAAGCGGTCTTCCAGCACTTCGGGACAGTGCCGAGCGAGTACAGGTACCGGAAAAGGCGCGTTAAGAACGGAGCCAACTCAGGAGCACAAGTACGCAGCACAATTGGGGGGATACCATCCGGCCCGCTCGACTTATGAATGTCCAAGGAAGATAGTGCTTTGCGGACAGCACGTTGCCGGAATGTGATTTCCGGCATCGAAGAATCACACCGCGAAATGGTCGGTGGTGATCTTCCTTGGTCATCCAAAGTCGAATTGGACGCGAAGAGACAGCCCAAAAGGTCGGCCTTCTCCTTCGCAGTGTGGGCCAGAGAGTCATCCTCCCTGTGCAGTGGCGGCATGGCGGGCTGACAAAAATTCCCTTGGACAGCTTTGGCGAGAGACCAGAAGGAATTTGTAATATTTCAAGAAGCACTGACGAGTGACGATTGCGGCAGACCGCAATAGGGACGGTTAGCCGAAATACGGCATGCCGCCACCGTATATACCGCGGCCTACCGCAGCGGCCAGCCGCTAGTGCGTTGTAGGCCTTAAACTTAGGTTATCATCTTGTTGTCGCTTTTGGATAAGACTATTGCTTTACCAAGGAACACGTGGTCTTACAATCGTCCTGCTTAGTCGATCCGGTTGTGTCAACTAACTATGACCTCTTGGACCCCGATGTGATTATAGGCTTCACCCCAAAATGTCGACTTTTCTACGACGAAGTTAAGAGAGAAAAAGCGCGCTAGAAGAGATCTCACATTAGTAAACGTCCATGCATTTAAGAAGCCCTAAGGGTGCGGCAGTGAGAAACTTTGTAATAAGAAGCTATTTGAAGACTGACATCCCAGTAGAAGAATCATAAAGGATTCTTCAGGTCTTCCTTCATAGAAGAGGTAATATCTGATACATCTGTTTTCGCGATGCAGACGAAGACGGAACATGTGTTGCAAGAGGATTTGCTGGTATACTGAATGGAAACAGAACAAACGCAAGTTTTACAATGGCTTGCCTGTGGCTAGGGTCATTGATGGAGATATCTCCAGATGATATCTTATCCAAATTGTAGAGAACCAGATACCCAATAAAAGTTATATAAACTGGCAACTGAAGGTGAAAAAATGCGTGGAGTACTGAACAGATGTTGGAGTTTGCCTGAAATAAAATCTTAAGAAAATCTAAACATGCTTGGAAGGAACTTGAATCAATTATTAAACTCCAACATAACAGTTCAAGCTGATATACTACTTTTTGGAGTCAGTTTTAAGTGCTGAAAAGTTGAATGGTTAAGCCTAGAAAGTTAGCCTAGAAATTTAAGTTTATGTCAAGTATGCCAAGAACCGATGTTGCATTTTTAAAAGGTTTGACATTAATTAAAACGGTTTATTCAAAAACCAATAAATCTTGAGTATTATTAAAGCACACTCCAGTAAAATTAGCTGCTTGCCCGTTTTTTAATTACAAAGCTTTAATCCTCATCTCCTGCTCATTAACCCTTTCAGTTAAAAGAGCAATTTTATCCATTAGGTTTTCACATTATAACATTGTTCATGTAAAGACATGAACAATGTTATTTAAATGTTTTATAGTTTGGAGTTATCACTTTTCTTTGATTGACTGGATTGAGAGTCAGTGCTATCCATGGAAAGTCTGACTGGAATCACTTGTAGTCTTATATAAAACTCAGATTTCTTAAACGTTTCCAATTCCTCGGATGTTAGTAGATATTCTGGAATTTTGTCAAGATCATTAGCGTTAATGCTTTTGAGTACGTCGTTCAGTTTGTCAGCGTACACCTTCAGAATGGTCGGTTTAATCGCCCCAATGAGATTATTTTGCTCGTTCCAGAAGTAAGGGATACATTTTTTATCGACTGCTAGATAAAACTCATCTATCATGTCCTTAAAAATGAGACCGATATTATTCTCCCAATATTTGTCGTCGTTTATTTTCTGGATTTTCCATAGAAACAAGGTTTTGACGTAATAACTAGCGATATACTTTAGGCCAAGGACGTCGCGAAGTTTTTTTACCTGAGAAAAGAAAAAGGTGAATAGTAAAAAAGCTGTAACCTTACCATAAAATTTTAATTGGGATTCCAATAATTGGCTCAATAACTAGTAAACAATTATGTAATTGGCTGGACAAAACCAATTTAGATTAAAAATTTTAATAGTGATAAATTTTAATGTAATATTAATATTTACGAAAAATGCTATCCAAAGCTAGCTAAGCTTTGTTCATTAAAACGAGTGCCAAGCAGCGCCGGGAGGCCTGCCGGAAGTTGAAAACTGAAGTTTTAATAGAAAGATACGCCCATCATAGTTCTTCCCATAAAATAAATACCCACCAATCTTATAACAACTTTCAACTGCTTCAAATTTTTCATAACTTTCCTCTCTTGTTCCTGAAAGGAGAGCCGCCAACATTGGTTCTGCTCTTTAGCATTCAACGCTTTGTTTGGCTTTGGTACCACTAACCAATCTTTAGCTTTATCGTCATCTATATTCCTGAAATATTATACACCTTTAATTTCCGCAAATAAACTCTTTTGGGGAAGGAAAAAGGTTTTAATAATTTGACGATGTATGGCATGTTACTGGAAACATAATTAATTGCTTTCGTTCCAAATTTAAATTGAGTAACGATTTTTTACTGATTACCAAAATTTTAGAACTTCTATCTGCAAATTAAATCTAAATGATTTCCTTCTTTCATCTTTTTTTTTAATAGCTCTACTTCAACGGTATAAAGAGATCGGTTCTGTCAAAGGAAGTCTCGGTTCGAGAAGAAAACGATGCACAAGATATGACCGCTTTGTGGCGAGTCAGGCGTTTGCTGAATCGTAAGAGCCTTAAAGAAGTAAGGGGAGTAGAATTTAGCTTGTGGACGGTACGGTTACTCGGAGAGAATGGTGTTTGCTCGAAACTGTGCTTTATGACAATAATAATTAAGGAGGTAAATGTATCCAGACATCAGCTGGAAGAGGCGTATGTATTATATGTAGACTAACTTTTAACTGTTAACTAAAGGGTTTGAAATGGTAATGGATGTAAAGAGGTCACATAGGTAGGCTCACAGATCAAACTGCCGTACAAACGAGACGCTTAAACGGGCCCAAGTTAGGTAAAGGCAAAGGGGGTCTAATGAGGTCATTGAGATTACCAGCAGAAGCTGGCTGCACTAAAATAATGACAGAAAACAGAAGGAAATGGTGGTGCTATCTTTTAGTCTGTGCTTCTGTATGTTTCGTGATAATTTTTTTTTTCTAAAAGGCAAGTAGATGATCAGCTTTCTATACCTGAAACACACGGTCGACTCGTGAGTCTAAGGCAAGTCGGTTTTCTCACGACGTGTCCTTCACCGTACAGATTTTTAAGCACATAGAAAAATCCATCTGTGCACTGGCGAGGTTCGAACCTACGACCTCAGGGATAAGAGGAGCACGCTGAAGCCCAACACTGCTCAAAATGTCAGTGTTGTTGATGTCTTAGGGAATTATTGTATTTATGTTAGAGAATATGAAAAAAATGTTTTAGTTAACTGAGGCTCACGATAGGATTTTATCGGTATGAAAATTTTAAACACTGTTTAGCGTTAAAGGAGATTAAATTAATGAATGATGAGTGCCTTTAGACATATTTTGTGCTTAATACTATCTAGAGAGCGGTTTTACATGTTTCACTAACATACCTGTAGCCTTTGGGCCAACGCGGTAGCATAAATCGTATGACAGGTACTAAATCCACATCAAGATAGAAAGATTCATTTTTATTCTCTATATTCAATGTATACGCTGGCCCCGACGATTTATATTTTAACTCATACTTAACACCATTAACTGTCACCTCATTGTTCATAGCGTTAAGGGTCTTCTGTATTATACTGTGCAACCACTGACGAAATTTGTTTTGCAGAAGGTATTTGTCACTGTCACGCCAATCTCTTGTCACTTTGTGACAGTTTTCCCAATCCTAAAAAAACAATACACGCTCATTATCTTAATCCAAGATTGACATCTTCGACCGGTGCATACCGCTCGATATCAAATTTACCGTTTGCTATCTGCTGTTACATCTGGAAGGTAAAATAATGAATTAAAGAAGCATTTGGGAAGCTACATTTCTAGTCCAACACGCGTTGTGACGCGAGATTAAATTTTTGCTTGAGTTCGTCATCTATCTTCTATTCTATCTTTTTTAAACCTTTGACATTTTTAGCCATAACTACACAAATGTGATGTTTGTAAATTTTGGCTGTCCAGGGATTTAATGTCGTAGCAGCTTAATCTGAACTCCCAACAGCGATAGCAATTCTGACTTCAATATTCACTTTTTCCGCGCCCAATGTTCCGCTACGCGAAATATATTAAGAGCTATACATAATTTCTAGTAGACATTACAGAGTACCGCTGCATCTTACAGGACTTGAAGTTTACTTAAAAATACTAAAATTTTTGAGACGAAGTTAATGTCTTTACCATAGACGTAATAAAAAGGTCTTTGACGACTCACTAAAATATCAAAATAATATAATTTTTTAAAACTATGTTTAAGAGACTGCGTCTGACTACGTAAAAAATATTATATTAGCGGAGCAAAGGAGATTATTATATACAGTGTCTAATATCATTATCATAAAATCTAGGATACGTAGTAATTATAGTTATATAACATCAAAATAATAGATTAATAATCTTTTAAATGCAAATTCCTTATCATTTTTAAATTGAAACTATAGTTTATTTGATAGCCCTATTTTGATAATAAAAATTAGGTTGAAAAATTTATCTATATGTAATTGCTCTTTTGCAAACACTAACCATCCGATTCCTAAAAAATCAATTGGTCTAATGTAATATAAACTGTAACTGTGACCATTTTACCTAATCTATCTCTTTTCATTGTCAATGTCAATGCAGACAAAAGAGTACAATTGGTAAAAGAGTGCAATAAAAATTTGCTTTCAATATGGGTGTAATAGGGAGCATTCAATTATTACGTCACTAAATTTTTGGAGATTATTGACTTATATATCCAATAGTAGACTCTTTATAGCTAAGAGTTATCATTATGTGCTGTAATGAACTTGAAAGTCGAAAATAATATTAACAATATCGCGTAATTCACTCCCCGCCCCGCATCGTAACGTTTTACAAAGGGACTCGACCCCCCCCCCCAAAATTCGTTACGTAAGTCCCGATACAAAAATTCTGTAGTCTGTGTGGAAGAGAACTGTTGAGAACCTTTTTGTTATGGTAACATTTTGTAATCATTTTGAAACTTAATATAAAAAAGTTAAAGTATACAATTATTATAAATAAATAAAATGAAACAACACAGGGAATAAGAATTATCTTAGTTTCCATAGCCATCATTCCAGTTCTCTTTCTGCACAGACTATAATAAATAAAATAGAGTTATTATGGATATATAAATACACCTTCTGCTTATCCAGATTATCGAAGGGTCTGATAATTTTCATTTTGACAAATCCAGGCTGAGCGTTCTCCAATATAATTCCGTCCTCTCCATCCTCATAATTTATGGGTAGTCGTATAACTATGTTCATGTCAAATTCATCTAATTTAGACACTTTGATACCATCATACACACTCCCGGCATAGAGTACCTTGTATATTAAAAAATCTTTATGCAAACTTCTTTATCATTACATTTGTATCTTATTTACAGATAAAAATTGTTTTAATTTATGCCACAAAATTTAATGTGAAAATCTTTATGAGACTGTCTGTGACTCTAAGATAATTTTTACAATATTTGTAATACATGAAATAATATTGCAAAAAAATACTATTCAGGTCAGACTAATCATGTGTGTTAACTGATTAAAAAATAATTTCATTACAAAGCAAATTCTAACATTGTTATAGTATTTTGTTTCATAAGCAAATGTGGTATTATGATTTATTCTGTACTCTTAAAATGTTATTAATCTAATTTAAATCTTTCATGAGTGCTACTGAAGATTTAAAATATACAAGCAGGCATGATAAAAATATATAAAACAATTATACATACCTGTTTAGCATATTTACTAAAGTAATTACATTGCTCTTCCATCTTTTGTTTAACCTGTTCAAAGACACTGTTAAATACTTCTTGTGATTTTTTGAGATCGTTGTCTTTTAAGGAAATGAATTCCTTAAAAATTTCTCCAAGATACATATCTATATGTTTCCTTTTACCTGACATATTCCTGAAACAGAGAATGCATTGTATTAGTTTAATAATAGTAACTACACTGTATACCTTTTTTTAAACAAATATTTCGGGGATATATAATAACAATTATATAAGTGGTTACTTACGATTACTGTTTTAGTGGTCCCTTGATAATATTAGCTAAAATAAAAAGTTTTTTTATAGTCGCCTGTTGTCAACAGAAACAGGCTGTATCAATACCGGCACAGCCTCGGGGGAAAGTAAAGTTACGAATCACGAGAGTCGAGAATAATGTAATGATAAATAAATTAATAAACTATGAATTAGTATGAACTATCAACTATGTTACAGTAGGGATGTGAAAAAATAATCGATTATTTAAAAAATCGATTAAAATCAATTTTTTCAAAAGTAAAAATCGATTTTTTTACGCGATTTTTATATTTAAAATAATCGATTAATAATCGATTATTTTTATAATTTAAAATCAATCATAGTCGATTTTTCATCTGCCACCTCCCGAAATTATGTCTGATCTTTTATAACCCGGACCTCGAACTATTAGGGATATTCGATATATATCGATGTTTACAATGCGATACATTGAATCCGATTCTTTGAAGATGTATTGATATACTCGATGCATTGATGTTTTTTTGTAAAACATCGAAAGGATGATAAAACTAGTTAATTTTACAAAAACTCAAGTTTGAATGGAACACTATCATTTAAAAGTAAAATAAATTTATTCAGCAGCACAAGATTACATACGATTAAAAAGACAACAAAAATACTGCAACTGAAAAGGCATACACTCAGCATTTATCAAAAATCACCTAAAAATATCAAAACGAGTATAGTTAATTTCGATTTTGATTATTCTTAGACGTTAATTTGTGTTTATAATTTCTATTGTTTATTTTTAATTAAAAAAAAACCATGAAAAATAAAATATTTAGGGTATTTATTTTGAAATTAGGAAAAAATCGATTAATAAAAAAATCGATTATTTATTAATCGATTTTTCATGCTAAAAATATAATCGATTAATAAAAAATCTATTTTTTTATGCAGAATGTCACATCCCTATGTTACAGAGAACCAAAGACAAAAGTCAACAGAAGAGTAAGTCAAATCGACATTGGTAACGTCGACCAATAGGGGACAAGTATAATAATGTATTTGTTAATTTACTCTATTTTGATTGGTTCTTAATCGCCCAATGAGGCGGCTTACAACTATAGTCCTTGTCTGGGAAAGTACAGCCTTAAAAATGTTGATAATAACAAAGTTACCCCTTTGTTATTAACTTATTAATAAGGCATCGTTTCTTAGAACGCTTCCAAGTATCCGTATACAGTTCGTGAATATTAAATAAGGTGTTTCTTTTACCATTGTTAAACGAAATGTCGTTTAAATAATAATGTGCCCAGCGGATTCCTTCATAATATTATAGCAGTTGAAATTACTGAAATTTAATGATATCATATGGCAATATATCTATTGGATATGGATATTATCATTATAAAAACAAAGTCACAAAAGTTAAAAGCAAACATATGTATTTTAAAGATAATCATAGATTACTTTAGTTATTGATTATTGATAGTTGATTTATTTTATACTTGTACAAGTATTCGATTGGTGGTCACCATAGACAATTTTTTTTTGTTACATATATATGTGTTCTTTAAAAATGTCAATAAGATTAACATTGTTTACAGAATTTAAATTGAATAAAATTACAAAATAAAAAACGTGTATTTTCCTTTAAAATCGTAACGACTGTAATTTTTTAAAATATTATATTTGTTTTTCAAACAAAGGACTTCCTCATTCACACCTAGTGAATATGAATTACTTAAATTAAGATTTCAAGTAAGTTGTACGATAGTTTTGGGACAAGCTTAAGGTGCACCCTGTCCTTCATTCACCAATAGGGCATGGGGCACAAACATTACTTCCCTGTGTCATTGGTCACCAGACTTCGTTTTCTTGCAATCCGAACTTGGTTCGACGAGCCCAAGGCCCAAGATATCGAAGATCAAATTATAACATCGTTTTTTTTTCTTTGTAATTAAATACATATATAAAAAACAAAAAGTATTCTGTATTATGAAATAGACGCATACTATTTCTTGACAAGGCTTTCCTAAATTTCATCATATTATCAAGAGAAAATACTATTAAGTAATTTATTTTCCAAAGATTACAAAGTACGCTTCAAATAGCGGTTTAGTTGCCAGCGATGTCTATTAACGTTTTATTACAGCTTAAGGTGACATGAGCAGCCGTGATAGTTGGATCCCTCTGGCTGCAGGCCTGGTTGTTGGAGCTGGTTTGCTTGCACTCCTTTATAAGATGTTTTCGGTGACTTCCTATAGTAAAATTAATCTCAATCCTGCCTCTAGTGCATATACGTGTGCATGTAAAGAAGGCGACATTGATAGCGCAGTAAGCTTACATTATAATAATTTAATTTAAAGTTATACTTCTTTTAGCGCGTTAGGGAAAATGACGAGAAATTTTAAGATGCGGGCGCACAACGTCACAAAAAACCGTCACCCTGAAGTTACCTATACTCAACATTTTAGTTTTTTCTATTGTTAGTGTCGTTTTTTCTATAAAAGTAGAATAACGATTATTATGTTGTTGCGCCAAAGAAGTATAACTACTAACGCGTGTACATAGGTACACACACGTTTTTTATTCTTTACCAAATATAGCTAAGAAGTCTATTCAATAAGTTTTCAGCAGCCTCTCTTTCTTAATAACACTTGACAACACTGTCCTGTATATTTTCGCTTAAAGAAGATAGTGAAGGGTGAGAATTGAGATACAACTATCGTCCAGAACGCTTGATTGCAATTAGTCCAAACGAATACGTTACGAGCCGTGATTCCTATTGTGTATAATCAGAAATTAACTTTTGACATGTTAAGCGGTACTAAACGCTTTGCTATAGACTATAAACTGTTGGCAAAAGACAAAAGGAACACGGCACGTTTACGTCTTTTGTTTTAGATTTGTAGTATTGAATTTAATGTAAATTAGTTATTGCAATAATTAAACGTCAAACGCGTTTAACTATGATTGCTTTACACCTGTTACTTTCGGAAGCGATAGACTATATTGTGGTATAATTTTATAAATTTAGTTATTTAATTAAAAACCTTTGTAGTGTAAAGTGCATCGTTCGAGTTGACAGAAAAGAAGAAATATTTTGCTACTTGTCACGATGGCTGTCACACGGAGACGACGCCGAAATTATTTTTGATAATAAAATAATATAAATATACAAAATGCTCTGGCGAGAACCTTCTTAACACAAGAAAACTTCGTACCAATGCAATGTGTGATTGGTAAGGTGTATTTTCCATTTCTCAATAGGTTTTAATAAAACTTTTTTAACGGATATAAACGCGAATTTATTACATAACTATATGTTTGGACTGCTTACCAATCAGCGCTTTTATTCAAATATGTATTTGAAATATTATTTATATTAATGATTTCTCTAACATTTGTGAGATTACATTTTTTTTTTAATTAATACATAATTTTGTTATTATCCATTAATTTTACGAATACTATTACAATATAAACCCCAATATGACAACCCTATTTACTTATTTGTGTCTAATATCTCGAGCTTGGGCTCAAACAAATAATATTTCGGATGAACCATATATTCAATGTATCTAATTGTGGCCTTTACCGAGATTACAACAGCAACTGCTGTGGTATAAATTATTATCAGTCACTCTTGACATAATCAGAGAAACATACAGAAATCTTATACCACGAGTCCTTATTGGTTTAGCGTCATGTAAGCTATCTTTCGTTATCGTAATTTTTTAAGTGCGGAGGAATTAGAGCGAAAACGGCTCGCTGCTATCCGAGCACAATCACGTGGTACATCCCCACCCCCGGGAGGCGGATGGCTGGACTGGATCTTTGGGGACAGTTCAGGAGGATGGTTTCCTATTATCGGAGGGTCCACAGTCTTCATGGCTCTACTCGGCCTGGTCTATCAGAACTTTGAGAAGATAAAGCAGTTTTTCGGTGCAGGTGGCAAAAAATGGAAAGACCCATGCGAAGGACAAGTTCGGGTGAATTTTACTTTATTTTAAAATACTTGTAGTTTTTAATGATAATACTGACTTAAAGTCCCCAAGAGGGGCAGAAGGCATCCAGCGTAGTTATTGATAAGAAATCAATTATTATCTTGTTAATAAACACGAGTCGTTGACCTCATAAATTGTGTCGAAGGTCATAAATATAATACCTATCGTTTATAATCTTAATTTCAAAACTTAATTGGACAGTGTTAGCCTTGTGTCTTCAGCGTCCGACTCTCATCCCTGAGGATGAACTTTTTTTCTATGTGCGCATTTAACATTTGCTCGGTGAAGAAAAACATCGTGAGGAAACCGGCTTGCCTTAGACCCAAAAAGTCGACGGCGTGTGTTAGGCACATCTCGTGCACAGATTACCTACTTTGCTATTAGATTGACAAATGATTATATATCTCTCTCTATATAAATCTTTTACCCAGACCAAAAAAGGGTTGTAGCGCCACTGATTTATTAATTTTTTAATCTTTATTTCAATAATAAGAGATGTGTTTATGAAGATGAGACATTAGTCAATATGACATTATGAATGACAAATTCCCAGACAAAAACGTTTAGCGTTAGAGGGTAACACCTGTCCAAAAGCGATTCTGTCTTTGCTTATAAACGGTGTAATTCTAAAATGACACGTTTTCTATAAACTTTAAAGTTGCTATCAATTAGCTACGTTTGTAGGACGTAATTTCTGATTCTGGACCGCCTTTGAAAATTGTTTCTCCAGCTATTACTCCCGAGTGATGTAATATAATATAAAACCAAGTACGGCGGGTAAAAAAATGCCCATGTAATATGGTATTATCAGTCGATTCTGTTTTATTTTTAATTTTCAATAAAATATAGATGTCTCAATAGAACCTTTAAACTGCCTTTATTTACAGAAACCACCTCCGAAGACATTCAAGTCGTGTAGCTGCGACACCTAACAAAATACTTCTTAAACGCTTGATCAATGTGTTACAGTATCGTGACTTTATTTAATTTAATTAAATGAGTTTTTATTCAATAGCGATATTCTGTGCATCCAAATTACCTATAATTAATTTAACCTATTTTTAAGGCTGTTCAAATAAATTTACGTAGCAATTATGTTAACAGACTAATGGTTCTATACAAAAATGAACTACATACAAGTAATTTAAGAATGTTTTAGTGGCGCCAGAGAAATAAAAATATTAAATTTCTTTAAAAGCTGAAATTAATTATATAATTCAATTATAATGGCGACTAAATGGCAACATTTTTATAGACTAAATCCAAATCACTTAATTGATCCACTTGAAACAAGATAGTTTAATGAAAAAATATAGCTATAGGCTTCAATATAAACTAAAAAAATTTAAAAGTTTTTTAGTATGGAATAATTAAAATATGATTAGTTTTTGGGCTTGTTTCTATTTTATCTTTAAACTATGGTATAGGACGTAGTCTCTTTTAATTCATATTTCTGATTAACTGATCGTTTATCAGTTAATCATAAATATGAAATACCGCTAATTTCATATCATAACATTGTTTCAAGTTGGAGTAATCACCCTACTATCTATAGGTACAGTCACAAGTGCTTATCTCTGTGCATGTGGGTATGTGAACATGTTATCACTTATCAGTGAAAGTAGCTCAAAAAAATACCCGCATCAATATTGCATCAGTGAAAGAAACACTACCCGTGTAAGACGTTTTTTTATTTTAATTATTGTCAACTTCTAGTCTTAGGCCTACAACGCACTAGCGGCTGGCCGCGATGCGTAGCGGCATGCCGTATTCCGGCTAACCGTCCCTATTGCGGTCTGTCGCAATCGTCACTCGTCAGTGCTTCTTTAAATATTGCACATGATGGACGTTAAAGAAGTTGCGGCAGTTATTTATTTATATCATCGTAGAAAATATCGTCAAAAAAACTAGCGCAAGGAACCAGCGATGACTGAGGTGGGTAGGACACGGTATTTGCGGCTAACCGCGCCGAGTGCGTGGAGGGGACGCGGCGCGCCGCATCATTCAACCGGTGCGGCTCGTCGCAGCTCCAGAACAACCGGAGCGGTTGACGGTTGTCCGCAAATCAGTGCGTCGTTATCGTGCGGTTATAATAATAATAATTTATTTATTGCAAGAATATTGTACAAAATGTTAAGGTGATACAATCGTAAATCGTTCGCATATTCTGCCACACACGATGGCGCGCAAATTTGTCTTAAAGAATTTTACATTATTATTCAAAGTCAATTCTTATATTATCTAGTCTATTATATTATATACATTACATGATTAACTTTATTTCATGTAATAATCGATGTGCGGCCTACTGCAGCGGCACACCGCATCGCAGCCAGCCGCTAGTGTGTTGTAGGCCTTAGGCCGTTTGTCCACCGTTGCCGTCACCGAGAACGAGATTATTTCGGGCCGAGTTTAAAATGACGTGACGGCGATCGTGTGTCTACCGCGCCGATATATCAGTGGCTCAGTTCTAAGTAAATTATAGATATATTAGTAGTTCAGTTCAGTTTGTAAGGAGCTGCAACCATTACACCATGTTCCACATGACATCTTAAATAATAATAAAATAAATTAAAAACAAAGATTTGTCCTCTATCAGCCGGAGGAATGGTGAAATAGGAGCACGCACTTACATTTTCGTGGGAACAACAAGCAAACAATTAGTGTGAACAACACGTGTGGACAAAAACAAATGTGTTTTGTATAGCCGGCACATCGGCCTGTCATAAAACCGGGCCGAGTTCTAGCGGTCACGCCGAACTACTCGAAATATCGGCGGCCGGGATGACGGCGCTCGGGTGACGGGCGTGCGGTGGACACACGACCATATTAAATGTATGTATCGCTAAATCGGCGCCGTCATCTCGTTCTCGGTGACAGCGGCGGTGGACAAACGGCCTTACGAGTTCCGTCCGTCTTCGAGTCTGCGAATCGAGAACCAGTCTGGGCATAGAAAATAAAACAGCGTATTGAAACAAAATATATTTATTACCACATCTTACAAATGAAATCCGTGGGCCTCGTCGGCTCAACTATGAATAACTATTGCAAACCCGGGCTTGACACAACCGTAACGAAATTCTAAGTTAGTGCCTTAAAGGAACGTTAGCTATACAATAACTTAATTCACGATTTAGAAAAGATGAGATGGTAACATTAAGTACGGATATTTCAAAGCCACCTCATGTTATCTAAAAAGTTAACTATAACTATAAAAATAACTAAAAACTAACATTCCACTGATATGCGTTTGTGGTGGCAAGTGCAGTCTATCCGAGATAAGTACGGAATAAGTTAGGCAAAGTAACATTCACCTTATTCATAAATGTTAATCGCTTTTATTCTCACAACGGACACAATATTCTATAGCTATTTAACGTTTACGAATGGACGTTCTCAAATATAATGCTAACTCAAAAGTGTCGGTAAAAACGTAATTTACGTTGGTAAAACAGTATAGCAATTGATATTACTATAAATTTCATTTACCAATACAAAATGGTGATCGTTGCGAATTTGTATTGTACGTTACATGAAATCTATTCGTATGAATTCTCAATCTCCCATAGTACGATAGTAGAATCGGATCCGCACGAAAATGTGTATATTGCCCTAATTACTAGTATAAATCAGAATTACCACAAGAAATAACCACTTCTAAAGTACATAACATTATTAATAACGGAAGGTTGTATTGTAACGTGGCAACACAAGGGAAATTATTTACTATATTAATTGACTAAAGTTTACGATAACAATGAATTAGTTTAATGCACGGTAATAAGGAGCGATAACCATTATATTCATTCGCTCGATCCTTCATTTACATATTTGTTTTTTATATGAGTCATATTAACATTTCACTTAGCTGTAATCAGTTTAGTTTTGGTTAAGAAAAGTGAAATCCCCACGAGACATTTTACAAGCGACTTTTTTAGCAGCCGTAAAAAAAATATAGTCTTTTTTATAGGCCCTGTGTCTTGTGTTCTTTTTAACAAAGTGCGTTAAACCGCAATTAGCCAAGCTATAAAACCGCAATGCGAATAAAACTGGGAAAGGCTATACTTTGAAATACATGTCTGCCTCATTAGTGTCAAATTTTACATCAAATGAATCACAATTTCGCCGAGCAATTAAAAAAGGAAGAGATTTGTTACGAACTAAGTATAATTTGCGTCTGAAATTCTATTAAGTATTTAGTTTAACCGCTAAAAATATGTCTCGGGACTTCACTTTAGAATCGAGAAAACGAAAATAACAAGTACTGGACGGATGTTGTTGTTCTGAAACGTGCTTTAAACAATAACATTTAAAACGGTTCCATTCACGGGAATAAATGGCTGTGGTGTTAGGAACTCATTGGTGAGGGAAATGTGTAATGCATATGGTAGGATATTTCAGGATAACAGATGAAGAGACAAATCTAATACATATTTGACGTACGGTTGTACTTAGGACTAAGAGCGCGACCACACGATGCGGTAACGGTGCGGTGCGGCGCCGCGCCGGAGCGGTGCCGCAACGTCATCCTACATACAAATTACTATACCATGTCACACGACGCGTCTCCGTAAACGCGCCGTAGTTGTGACCTGCGAGACGAGGCGGGGAAGGGTAAAATATATTGCCACATCGCAACGTCCTTGTGGCACCCTCTCGAAGTAATTGCGGTGAGGCGCCGCACCGCATCGTTACCGCATCGTATGACCGCGCTCTAAGAGAATTCCCTAACAACCGTTTTGAATGACACGAAATGCAATTGCTGAGTTTTTTAACGGTATTTAGCTGCCCGATTTGTCGTTCGATAGGAATTGCGGATCATGAAGCTAAGAAAAATAAATTTGACAGAATTAAAAAAAATTGCCTGACGGGACAATCTCGCAGTACATACAGGAAAGTCAGGACTATACTGTACTGTACTGTTTCCATTTGGAAAGTCTACCACAGTATTATCAAACAACAAAACAATTTGTTTGGCACTGATTAAATCGGGTTTATATATATTTACATTCGAAATACCCTGACGATATGATTATGACAAAAATATGTAATTTATTTATTTTACAATTATGAGGGATGACCTCGATTATATGAGAAATTATTTATGTGACCGAAATAATAAACACTACAGGGTTAGAATGCTTTCGGAGCGGTTCCTTGAATCAACGTTACGGTCCTAGTCAGATATTTATCTTAGTTACTAAGACTTTTCAAAGATTTGACGAAATATACGACAAAATTATTATTTATATATTTCTTCTATGTTTATTCTCCCGCTACAATAACTAGCTTTTTGTCGTTGACGTTCCACATGCGTAAAACATCGTCAAACATAGTCTATTATCTTACGTCACGTGACACAATTTGTTCATATTCACCGCTGCCGTTTCGTCTAGGACGCCAATATAAATATTGTTTTATTATTTTCGAATATTCAAAAAACATTTCTATTATGTATTTTATAATACGCCCTACGGCCCGTATCGTTCTAGATACGCCAATGTCAAAAAGACATTCAAGAACTGTCACTTCTGAAGTTTATATTTGACAGACATGAAACTTGACATTGGCAACATTCCAACCCCGCATATTAATAAAAAAATATTGCAACATTCGTGTTAATATTAAAAATATAATACCAATTTATAAAAACCTTCGATTTACTTACACTAAGTGCAATTAATTTATGATGGACTAAGTGACGCGTTTAAGACTAGGAACGCCCCACCATTATAAATAATTTTGTTAGAGGACGAATTTGCGAAACGATGAAAAATAATTTTGAATAGTTGCCACTTTCAAAAAGATATATACACGCGAACTGGCAAGTAACGTAATACTGTATACATAAATTAAATTTATATAAATTATTATTAATTTTTAATTCTAAATTATTTACACTGCGTCTAAAAGTCGCTATTGAAAAATACACATCCATCGAAATGGGTTTCGACTTATGTCTGGTCTCTATAAAAATTGCAGAAAGTGAAATTTGATCAAATTTCTGTAGTTTAAAAAACTTTTAAATAGTCTAGTAAAATTATCCATCCATATTCCAATATGTTATGGAATCCAGAAATTCCAACAGACGTCCAAGTTCTAGCATCCAAAGTATCAGTAATCCAAATTCTCTACCTTCATTTATTAGGACGGTTGAAAGGCAGTGTTGCAATGCCTTTGGAACTCGAACTCACGATTATTGATTTGAATTTTCGGTTGCCGTAAATTTTAATTCTTCTCTTTTTTACTCTTCAGTATGATTTATTTACTGATATTTTAAGGATAGAACCAAACGTGAAAATTGAAATACGGACGGATAGTGCTTTATATAGGAACCGAGCATAAGTCGTCAAAACGTAGGCCATCTCTGGTCAGTATTAGTCTATATCTCTACAACCGTTACATAATCTCATATATCCAAAGAAATGCTTAGTATATTCAGTCAAATAAACGCGGAATCGTCATTAGGTGCCTCCAGAAACTGTAGAACGCAATAAGAGATTCACAGACTGTAACTGTCACAGAGATACTTTTTGACAGAGGGGAGAATTAGTTTGAACTTATTGATCTGTGTCTATGAATCTTGGGTTGTGAAAATTTTGATTCGCAATTCCGTATAGCATTGATATTCCAAATAGTGAGAATAACTGTCAAAGAAATCCCGACAACTTGTCAATTCAATGACAATGGCTATCGAAATTCTTTATGAAGGAAATAATCTTTTACACCATCAATACGATTTGATGTAAAAGAAATGGTGAATAACCACAATTTCTGAAAGCACCATGCTCATATATTGTCACAAACGTTTCACCCTTGGCACTAGCCTTGAAATACTGCTTAACAATGTATACCGATCATATAATATTGCTCTTGCTTTGTATATAATATTTAGGGAATATAAATAGTTTTTAAATTTTATTTACTCTATTTGGAAGTCACTGAACAATTTGACACATGACAAAGCCGTGGCGAACTCTAGCAAACGCGGTCTATCAAAGGCATCATGCCTTTGAGATTTAGTCGCGTAGGCGGGCGTATACGTAGACACTTCACGTATACGTACGTTTATCTATCGGTGAGTCAACGGATTCAAAATTTAACACTGGTTTTAACTCTACCGACAACTAAATTGAATTGACCGCACGATCACTTCTGAGATCGCCTCTCGACTTCGTATCCCTTACGTTATGACTTTTTATCGAAGAGTGGCAGTTTCGATTTGACGGCTCCTTCGCAGATCATCAGTCTCTGGGCGACGCATTTCCTCCCGCACCCTTCTTCCCCCACCACTTCCATCCGACTCCCCGCGCTTCTGTGCTTGACGTCGACGAAGTATTCCTTCTCGGCCTTCTCCTTGCCGAACTTGCCAAAGTTGCTCATTTTGACCCTCTGCCCCTTGAACTCGCACTTGAAGTCGGCGCCTTTTCGTTCGAAGTACTCGACGATTTTGGATATTTGCGCGGATCTGACGTGTCGAGGGATCCGGTCGTCGTAAATGTCGGAGCCGAGGGAAGCGACGTCCTCCGAACTGTCCGTGTAGACGCTCGAGGTGCGCTTGCAGGAGAAGAGATGGGAAGGAAAGTTGAGGACCCTCGGGAGGACGCGGTTGAGTTCGTCCTCGTCCAGGGGACGATGGGAACACTGCACGCGGCCGACGCAGCAGCACTTCGTCAGGACGTGGTACTCCCGCTCGGTCTCCTCCGTGTCGAGGAGGCCGCAGAGGAAAGGAGAGGCGTCGTTTTCTCGGACGGACTCCTCATCGTCGAGGCTGCGGAGGGAACTCACTGTGGTGGAAAGGGCGGAGTCGTCGGGCAACGTCGGCCGACGTCGCAACACCCGCTCGTATAGGACGAGGCAGTCCGTGCAAACCCGTACACGGGGCTGTTCCTCGAACTCGTCGCCCGAACGTTCACTGGATTCGCGACGCCACCACCAACATCTGAAATGTGACATTTTGTTACGAAATTTGTCAAAATTTTGTATTCGAGAACGTTAATTTTGGTAAAACAATGAGACAAGAGCTGTTTAAAATTACTTAAGATGTGATAAAACACAATATGAAAATGTTGTTGGATTAAGATTATTTTATAAGAACCATATTCTTTTAAACCATTAAAAAAGTAGCATCTACTTCCAGTTAGCCTTGTTCCAGATGAGGAACATAGATTTTAAAAAGATATTGTAGTAGCTACTAATAATGTTACTCATTCTTATTTTACATTTAAATTAAAACCATATATTATTGTTAAACATAAAGCCATACCTATGACATCCCATTAGCGAGCATGGGCACATGGCGCCATAACTCGCGTGTCCAAAGTCCTCATTGGCCACCGAGAATATCCCGCTCTCGCACGATCCGCGGCGTTTTAGTTCCGAGTCGCTCAGCTTCTGTTTCCTACTGAACACCGGCGAGGGTGGAAGCGACGACGATCTCGGCTCATCCGAGGTGGGGTAGAGGTTGGGGGGGTCGCCACTGGAGCATCGATTCCGGGGGGGTTCCGGAGCCCCCTCGAGGAGGATTTGATTCCAGTATTTTGTGGACTCCACGGAAGGTATGTAATGCCCGCTTCGCGGGTCGGGGAGCCGCGTGGGTGTCCCGTAGGAGCATTATGTGGGCGAGACGATGAAGACGAGCGAGGGAGGGAGGGGCGGGGGGTGCGGGGTCGAGGGCGCAGGCTGAGCGATGAGGGGGAGAGAGGGGAGACACGCGAGACATGCATTCCAGCTCGGATAACGAGCGTCGGTGGGCTGCGCTACCTGTAATATTGTACACAGTTGCTACAGTTACAAAACATTTCTTTAAGTAATATAAGCTAATGTTATATTTAAAACCACAGTCATTTTTTGCATCTGCTTTTTTATATACAGTGTAGACTCCATGTAACGTCCTTCGATTTAACGAAAAATCCTCTAAAGCGTCGAAATCACTCGGCTTTGGTTGGTTTAGCTTGTCTTCCACACATTGATACATAGCATTACACCTAGCCTCAATAACGACAATTAAATAATAAAAAGCCACAAACTTTCTAAGAAATGCTTGCACGTGCTTTATCACAAACATGCTTCAATATCGCAAGATTTCAATGAAATAAGTAAAAAATACAAGATAATTACTGGTGCAGCAAAAGACATGAGGCGCTAATAAGATACTATACGCAATAGCGTACAAATAAGAATTGTTTTTATGTAATTACTAACACGCCTAAAAAAATCTTTTTCTTTTTCTAATACAGATTTTTCTTCTTCCCATTTAACGACAACTCTTTGTAATATAGAGTTTACACCAATGTCAAAGGCGGTATGCTGAATTTTTTTTTTCTGTTAATAGCAAGATTATACTAACGTGTATCTCTGTGTGGGTGCGTGCCTGTCTCCGAACGCATCCGTAAAGGCCGACGCCACGCCCACGACGAGTACGTACGACCGCAGGATGCGTCCGCCTCCTCACTGCAATTCAAATATTAAACATCAGCATACTCAGTACAAAGGGATCCTAAAACCCCTTATTTTGAATATTTTTACCAAATTAAAGAATATATTGGTTGGTGGAAGCGTTTTACTTAGTTTTAATGAAAATTTATAAAATTTTCGTTATAATTTTGTATTTATTTATATTATCACGCCATTTCCCCGAAGGGGTAGAAAGAGACCACGGATCTCTTGCTACGGTCCTGAATATACCTCTCTTGCTTCATCCACTTTCATAATTATGTTCGTCGGTTATGGGTACTTCTTTCGTCGATATGGTTGAAAAATTACAACTAAACTTGCTGGTAGCCGATTTAATCGAATTAAAAGCCGATTATTTACTAATCATAATTCGTATTTAAATACGGTTACAATTACGTTAGTAATTAAGATATAAAATATATGTAAATGATGTCACAAGATAAAAGGAAATGGTACATAAAAAGTATCTTAGAGGATAATTTATTTTCTTCTAAATAAATTTTTATACCTGTCATAAGTGTTAGTGGAGGCATGGCAGCCCCATGCTGTGTCATCTAGGCCTTCCTTAATCTCGGCCAACTTGCTCACTATCTCGGGGAATAGTGGTCGCGCCTTGGGCTCGTACTGAAACATTTATACATTTTAAGTAATTTTTTAACCTTTTGATACTTCTAGAAGATTTTGCCTGTTATACATACTATATATTTATATTAAAAAATAACAATACTGTTTTATTATCTGTCTAACGTTATGAAATCATATTTCTGTAGCTATTTAAATGTCAAATTAGATTAGACAATCAATAAAACAAACGTCAACTGTCAACTCAAACAGTCCGGTTCCAGTGAAACGTTTTCAAGACAAACAATTATCCAAATCAAAAGACATAATTCACAATCAAAAAAAAAAGTGCGTGCGTACAAAGTACACATGTCAGAAGTGAAACTTCTTTGGCAAACAAATTTTTGAAAATGGAAGATTTATTAGGAATTTAATGAATTTAATTGGCATTAAAATATTAAAAGTGTCGAAAATTAATACAAGTTACGATATTATTTCTTCGATAATATAAACACGTGGAATTTTAATTTACAATTCGACATTTGAGATTTCAATAAATTATTTTGCATAAAATATAAAATACTAATATTTCATAAATTCTCTTTACAAAATTTTAATATTAAAAATAGAATTTCTATAAGGTAATTCGCCCCTCTCACTCTCAGTCGGTCTCAATCGCTCTATCCCTTTTCTTCAACAAAAACGCTGTACATCATCGTGACGCTAACATTATTATTATTATAGCGTTTCATCCGTAAAAAAATTACCCTCATGCGCCTAAAAAAAGTTTCACTTCAATAATAATTCACTTACAATGCAGCAGTTGAAGGCCAATCGTAGGAAGTCTGGGACAGTGTACTCGTCACAGAGTTCCACAAACGCCATGTAGTTCAGACCGAAGTTATCCGTACGAGGGAGAACGTCCGGGTCTGCGTCCACCTGTAAAAAATAACAAGTTTATATAGACTGACTGCGACGGCGGGTTCTCCCAAGCCATATATGCACAACATTCCATTACTCTTATAATTGGTATTTCAACACGATTGCAGTATTCAAACTCAAAATATCTTTTTCATATAGGTAAACAAGTACACTTATGAATCAGCCTTCAGTAGACGATTATTACGAGAGCAGACACAATATTTACAATTATGAAATGAATTTAAAATATCTACTGTACGCTATTGAATACCTACAGGCATTTTAGTGCGCATAATATTTTTTCTTTTTAATAATTATAACTTTAAAAGTAAGGGTCTACTGTCCAGCATAAGGGCATTTCCAATTCCGCTATGTATATATTGTCGAAATATGTATTACTCTAGAATTGTATTTCAATTTACAAGACGATTTGTATACAAATAATCGTCTTCAGTAGATCTGCTGATCATCTTCTTGTCTATTAAGAAAAAATAAATGTTCACAAAACAGAAATCTGAGGCACCTTAAAGGTTGTAGCGCCATTGATATAATCATTTACTTCAACTCTGTATTTTGCGCGAATTGTCTTATTAAACACCTTTATTCACGCGAAATGTCTTCTCAGTTTAAACGAAAAAAAAATATGAAAGCTAAAGTATCACCAGAAATGGCGAAACAAATGAGCAATAATAGCATGTAACTTAAGACAATTAGATGACGCGTTCGAGCATCGCGCGTTCATTGCACGACAAATCGAAATGTAATTTATATGATGTTTGCGCAAACTTACTAGAATTTAACTGTCAAGTAGGTACAAATTAGATCGCAGTTTTAGCTTGAAGGTTGTTACCTTGATTTCGTTATATATAATAGCAAATCTCTTATTAGTATATAAAAAAATGTAAACACTTCAAACTCTTCGATTGAAACTGCGTTTATACATCAAAATTTATCATCTGTTCAAATTAAATTAAATGTGTAATACCTTCCCGTAAACCGTACCGTCCGTATTTTACAGACTATCGTGACAATTATGGATTAACTTAATTCAATTTATCCCCAAAATTTTCCTAATTTAACGCGTTTAAAGTGCTTTCACTTTGAAAAGTATCATACTAGCGAAAACACTGATCATTTTCAATATAAAAAAATTGACATGTATACTTATTATGGGAACCTGTAATACTTACTCTGGCGATAAGTTGGCACAGTATGATCCCGTAGGAGAAAATATCAGATCGGTGGTCGTACCAGCGGCCACGAAGGCATTCGGGGGACATCCACCAAGGTGATCCCACACTTGGTAAGCGATATCCATTACTGGAAAGAAAAATGCATATATATATTAATAAAAATCAGTATGCATAAACACTTCACTTACGTCACAAAAACAAATCATGGAAATGGGCAGTGTTGGCCTAGTGGCTCCAGCGTGCGATTCTCATCCCTCAGGTCGTAGGTGCCATCCCTGGCTATGCACCAATGGACTTTCTTTCTACGTGCGCATTTAACATTCGCTCAAACGGTAAAGGAAATCATAGTGATGAAACCGGCTTGCCTTAGACGCAATAAGTCGACAGCATGTATCAGGCACAGGAGGCTGAACACTTACTTGCCTATTAGTGTAAGTATCGCAATACAGTGAGAAAATACTGCCCGTGTTAAAGGTAGCAAACAGGGGTCAAACTTTTTAATTTTCTTTTTTTTAATTTTTATTGTTTTTATTATTACTATGTAGGTGAAGAAAATTGTAAATACTATATGATTGTTATGTTTAGGTTTTAAAAAACGAATTATGTTATTATTGTTAAATAAATTTCATATAAATATAGCTTTAAATGTTATTTTTTTGAACCTGGAACCCAAGTCATAAAGGACCACTATACCACCAGGACATAAATTGGTGTCTGACAATTTTACAATCGATATCGAATAAGCAATTAGCAAATGACCGATGGGGTGACTTCCAGTATGTCCGAGGGAACCGAATTCCCTCACCACTTCAAATTTTTCGAGGGTTATTTTTGCAAGGGAGGCATTTCTATTATTTCTCGAGGGTCCCGAAATTACTGATTAAGTTTTCTTTGGTATGAATGTATACGTACCTAATACATCAATCTACCAAGACATTTGGTTTTGTGTTTTTAGTTAAATGTCTTTAATGTTATCGCTTTTTTTAGTTCTGAACTAAACAGATATTTGGCCACAATGCCACCTGATGTGTGAGATGCGGCCTGTTGAAGGGCACCTGTCCAGGAGATGCCTAATTAGCCTCCGCTTGAATGAACCGATGTTCTATTGTTTAGAGAAGATTAAGGAGTTCCACTCTGCTGTTTTTACAAGAAACTACAATCCAAATCGTGTACTGCGCTTGGGGATAGCCACATCGATGGGGGGAAGCCGGAAACCAGCGTACTTCTAGAGGAACGTTATTTGAAAGGGGACGAAGGCTTTAAAGTAATACACACAAAATCTAACAAATATGTTTGCTTTATCAAGAGAGCGTCTTCTCTTTTCTTCCCACTGGCCACTGGGCCATTCCAAGTAAGGCTCTTGTTGACACATCTGTCATCACTAACGCGGACAATGTGATCGGCCTATTTCCACTTTATTTTTTGAGGTATCACTGTCTTTAATTTTCAACCGAAGAATAGCCCAAAGCCATTTGGCATACTCCAATCTACATTGTCTCGCATGGGCAGAGACTGAAAGCTGAACACATACTGGCGATGTTAAAATAAGTGTTGTTTGATGATTTGCTATTTTAAAAGAGTACCGAGAGTTTTTTATGCCGGCTTTTTCTCTCGGCTTACACCCTCTGTCTTCCTACTTACCTACGATTCAAATTTAATGACGTGGAATAAATGATACCTGTTCTGGGTTTGATTAGCGAAGAAAAATTATCGTTTCAGGTTCAGAAGGTTTACGTTTAAAATCAAAGAAATTTCGACACTATGATGGCATAGTGTATATTATTATTTTTTTTTTTTATAGAACGGGGGCAAACGGGCAGGAGGCTCACCTGATGTTAAGTGATACCGCCGCCCATGGACACTCTCAATGCCAGAGGGCTCGCGAGTGCGTTGCCGGCCTTTTAAAAATTGGTACGCTCTTTTCTTGAAGGACCCTAAGTCGAATTGGTTCGGGAATACTTCAGTGGGCAGCTGGTTCCACATAGTGGTGGTGCGCGGCAAAAACTGCCTTGAGAAACGCTCAGTTGTGGAACGTCGGACGTCGAGGTGATACGGGTGGAATTTCGTATTCTGCCTCGACGTCCGATGATGAAACTCAGCTGCAGGTATTAATCCGAACAACTCCTCTGAACACTCTCCATGGTAAATGCGGTAGAAGATGCAGAGTGACCCCACATCTCTACGCAACGCTAAAGGATCAAGCCGCTCGGAGAGGGATTGGTCGTCAACGATTCGAACCGCTCTGCGTTGTATACGGTCAAGTGGAAGGAGCTGGTACTGGGGAGCCCCCGCCCAGAGGTGAGAGCAGTACTCCATGTGGGGCCGAATTTGCGCTTTATATAGTTGCATGCGGTGGCCCGGAGTGAAGTACCGTCTCGCCTTACTGAGCACACCAAGCTTTTTGGAGGCTAATTTAGCCTTTCCCTCCAAGTGACCGCGAAACTGAACGTCACTCGATATGTCAACGCCAAGTATTCCAATGCTGGCTGTGGCTTTAAGAAGAGTGTTTTCGAAAAGAGGAGTAGCGACAAAGGGTGTTTTTTTAGCGGAAAACGCGCAAACTTGTGTCTTCTTGGGGTTAAATTGGACTAGGTTTTGTCTGCCCCAATCTGAGACTCCACGAAGTAGAGTTTCAACTTCAGACACAAGTTTGTTCCGGTACTCATCAACAACTGCCCGAGAAATACCTGCCCGGCCAGTGTAAAAAGTATCCCCAGTACTGTCATCCGCATAGCAATGAATGTTGCTAAGTTTTAACATATCATTGATATGCAGAAGAAATAGGGTCGGGGATAGAACACAGCCTTGTGGGACCCCAGCGTTTACGGGTTTTAGGTCGGAACATGCTCCGTCGATGACGACCTTGATGCTCCGATCGGCCAGAAAGCTGGAGATCCAATTGCGTAATTTCTCGGGAAGCCCATAGGCTGGAAGCTTCGAGAGCAGTGCTCTGTGCCACACCCGATCGAAGGCTTTCGCTATGTCCAAACTAACCGCTAGCGCCTCCCCTTGGACTCAATTGCCTCTGCCCATCTATGTGTAAGGTATACAAGAAGGTCACCAGCCGAACGACCACGACGAAAGCCATACTGATAATCGCTAATCAGCTGGTGGCCCTCTAGATACCTCAAGAGCTGGCAATTAACAATGGATTCCATTATTTTGGAGAACAAGGAGGTTATAGCTATTGGGCGATAGTTGGACGGATCAGAGCGATCGCCTTTTTTAGGGATCGGATGTATCAAAGCGGTCTTCCAGCACTTCGGGACAGTGCCGAGCGAGTACAGGTACCGGAAAAGGCGCGTTAAGACCGGAGCCAACTCAGGAGCACAAGTACGCAGCACAATTGGGGGGATACCATCCGGCCCGCTCGACTTATGAATGTCCAAGGAAGATAGTGCTTTGCGGACAGCACGTTGCCGGAATGTGATTTCCGGCATCGAAGAATCACACCGCGAAATGGTCGGTGGTGATCTCCCTCGGTCATCCAAAGTCGAGTTAGACGCGAAGAGACAGCCCAAAAGGTCAGCCTTCTCCTTCGCAGTGTGGGCCAGAGAGTCATCCTCCCTGTGCAGTGGCGGAATGGCGGGCTGACAAAAATTCCCTTGGACAGCTTTGGCGAGAGACCAGAAGGCTCGAGTCCCTGATGGGAGTTGGGCCAATCTCTCGCCAAATCTGGCAATGTGCTCTGACTTTGCCTTAGTGATTTCCCGTTTGAAGGACCTGGAGGCTGAGTTATATGCTTTTTTTAAGTTCGCTGGTATTGGCATCACGAGATTTCGCCGCTTCCGCCCATGCCTTAAAGCATTCTCGCTTTCGACGCGAGGCCGCCTTGCAAGAACGTTTAAACCAGGGCTGAGACTTGCCACCGATCGGCACCGCAGAAAATGGAATAAAGAGTTCCATGCCCTGCAGAACCACTTCGGCGACAGAGGCGGCGACGGAATCTGGAGCTTCCGGCGAAAAGCACATAGGCCCCCAAGGGTAGGACGCAAAGAAAGACCGCATCCCGTCCCAATCTGCTGACTTATAGTGCCAAATACGGCGACAACCCATAAAGCGGGGCCGTGAAGGGCGCGTAGATGGCACAGTACTCCGGACCACACAATGATCTGATGAACCCAATGGCGGGTCAACAGAGACTTGATAGTTCTCCGGATGAGAAGTCAGCAGAAGGTCCAACAAAGAGGGTTTATGACCATCCACATCTGGTATTCGCGTAATCGCAGGGACCATTTGTGTCAGGTCGTAGGCTAAAGCAAAGTCGTGAAAGGATCTTCCCGCGTGATCGGTGGTTTCAGAGCCGAGCCAATCGGCATGGTGGGCGTTAAAATCGCCAAGTATCACGATTTCAGCGGTAGGAACCCTTTCGAGCAGGGAATCTGTAGCCATTTGGATGTGCTCAATGAGTCGGTCAGTTTCGGTATTTCCGCTATGGGACCTATACAGGCATGCGTAGAATCGCGGATGGTCATCGCAGTCTACGCGCAGCCAGAGGTTAGATAGGTCCCTTCCTTCAAGCGTCCCGAGGCGACGAGAACAGATATCCTCTCTGACGTACACGCAAACTCCAGCCCGCGGCACAAATGAATGTTCCAATTTGTACCCCGGGTAGGATAGGTGGGAAGTATCAGCCGGGGAGGATATCTGAGTCTCGGTATATTATTATTATCTAACATAGATTTTGTGTACTTCCGCAAATCGTTCACGCATGGCAAAAGTGAAGTTCTTATATGCAGCTTGATAAATGGTCCAAACTTGACAAATGACCCGACATTTGCACGCAACGTCGCGTGATTAGCTTTCTCATTCACGTGACGAGAGGCGTTAATTGCGAATGGTGAATGAGATGCGATCATTGATGGATTGAGAAATTTTCCGTTCAGTTCTTATGGTAGGTACTTTAGATAACTGTCAAATTAGAGGTAAATGTGTATGTTTTTTTCACTACTTAAAATCATATTAAAGAAAGAATTACTAAGTTTGACTATTCGTTAAATTTTAAACTAAATTTTATTTGTAACTGACGAAACCATTTCAATATGTATGCCTCGACGCCTGATGATGAAACTCATCTGCAGGTATTAATCCGAATAATTCCTCCGAACGCTTTCTATAGTAAATGCGGTAGAAGATGCAGAGAGACCCTACATATCTACGCAACTGCAAGGGTTCAAGCCTCTCAGTCGTCGGCGATTTGAACAGCTCTTTGTTGAATACGGCCAAGTGGAATGAGCTGGTACTGGGGAGCTCCAGCCCAGAGGGGAGATAAGTACCTACTCCATGTAGGGCCGCATTTGCGCTTTATGGAGTTGCAAGCGGTGGCCCGGTGTGAAGTTTAGCCTTGTTGAGCATACAAAGCTTCTTAGAGGCTTAGCCTTTCCCTCCAAATGAGCGCGAAACTGAACGTCCTTCGATATATCAACGCCCAGTATTTCGATGTAGCCAGCATTTACAGCAGGCTTTAAGGAGAGTGTCTTCGAAGACTCCTATCTTATATATTAGAGATCTCCTAGCGCCAAAGGGTGGTTTTAGCACACAATTTTTGTAACAGACACAACACGTTACCACTAATAAATTAAATACCAATGTTTTTAAAAGCAATAACAATGTTTATTCGACATATTTATCCAACCCCGTTTGAATTAAGACAATATTTCGTGGCCAATAAACTCTCATTAAGTTTATAGCATAGGGGACGGACTTTAGGGTAAACATTTTTAATAACATCAAAGAGAAGTTCTATGCACCCTCAAAGCGTCTTGGACGAATGTATTTTTTGCGGCTACCTTCATTATTTTAATTTTATTTTTGCTTTCAAATATCACACATGTTAAAATGTGGATAATCAGATACTTATGAATATATGTTATATAAAGGTTCTACACATGTGAAAATTACATGAGAACTTACGAAGGCTAATTCCATGCAACTTCTTAACTCTCTCTCTCAATATACGTAGTCGGTCCCAAAGTTCTGTCATAAATGGAAATAATGATAAAAACAAAAGTACTGATCAGTTTGTAATGAGTGATATATCAATTCTTAGTACATTAATTAAGGAATAAAAAAAGCATAAAAATATTCGAAATAACCTCCCTCATTTTTAATACAGGCCCTTAAGCGTCGCGGCCAGTCGTCTATCGCAGCACGCACCATATTCGTGTCGATTTCAGTCACTGGTTTTTTTAAAGATGACTTCAGATTCTCCAAATTTTCATGAGGTTTATCACAGACCTTCCTCTCTAAGCCCTGTCATAATTTCTGGTCCAAAGGATTAAGGTCCGGACTGGAGGAAGGCCAATCCTCATGTCTAATTAAGACGATGTTTTGACGCTCAAACCAGGCTTTAGTGGTCTTGGCTTTGTATGCAGACGCAGAGTCCTGCTGGAACACGAAGTGATGTCCCGCAAATAGGGTGCTGGACATGTCTTTGACAAGGCGATACAAAACCGTCTCTTGGTACACTGTAGCACTGGTTTTGACCCCCTTTTCGAAAAAATTAACCTCAGTTAGCCCGTAATAGGACACTCCCAACCAAACCATTACTGATGATGGATGATGTCCATGTTGCACCCTTGGAACTTTATTTTCAGCTTCTTCAGAACTCCTAGCGTACACTGTATAATTCTGTTTATTGTACTTCTCTTCAATATCGAAAAATTTTTCGTCCGTAAAGAGGATATCACGGTCTCGGTTTTTCGCGTACCGCTTAAACAACACCCGCGATCTCTTAAGCCTTATTGCTTTTAGACGAGCATTAAGTAAGTGCCCACTCTTTTTTTGTATGCTCGTAGACCAAGATCTTCATTTAAAACCTTTTTTACTGTTTTCCTACTGACACCCATCTGCAAATCCATCAACTTCTGTTTTCGGACAGGATTTCTTACTATCCGCGCCTTGATAGCTTTGATTACTGCTGGTGTTCTTGCGGAGCGTGGCCAGCCAGTTCTTTTCTTGTCCTCAACACTGGAGACTTCAAGGTACCTATCAATAGTACCGTACACAAACCTAAGCGTTATATTCAAATTTTTGAGCAACTTGAAAATGGTACTCGGCGAGTGTCCACAGCGGTGCAACGCAATAACAACTATTCGGTTTACTTTCAATGTCCACTCCATCAAGAAAAATTACGGAAAGTTATTGTTTTTTGTTTTAAAACAATAATCAAACATTCCAAAATAGAATGCAATAATTTTTTATAAAATCCTGCTCGAAATGTAGAAATAATGTGCTAGTGACAGAACTTTGGGACCAACTACGTACAATGGAAAAGAGATCGTATAGAATCTATGGGAAAATTTCAGAGTCAGGTTATCTATGTCAAACACGGATTTTAACATACAGTGTAAACTCTTTATACCGAATTTCAAGGGACCGAACAGTGTAAATTCGTTATAAGGAATGACGTTATATAGAGTTTACAATGCATGAAAACCATAGCTCGCTCTAAGCATTAACTATGTGAAACCAGCTGCCTACTGACCAAACCAATTCGACTTAGGGTATTTCAAGAAAAGAGGCCCGCAACGCACTGGTGAGCCTTCTGGTAGTGTGAGTGTCCATGGGCAGCGGTATCACTTAACATCAGGTGAGCCTACTGTACTATAAAAATCTCTCAAATCCTAAGATCTTAGAATTAAGGGTTTACTGGAATTAGGTTTACCCTGGCAGAAAGCGATATATTATTAGATTAAATCTTAGTAAGTAGACGGACTACGGAGGGATTACTTACATCGGATGAGGTATTTTCGCCGCCAAACCAAAGTCGGCGACCACTGCTATGTATTCACCATCGGCATTTTTTCTTAATAATACATTCTGAAAATGATAGGAATTTTGTAAATTATACGCCATAATACAACGTCAATCAAACATAAATCTAATTTTGAGAGTTGACAAACCATTTTTATGTATGCAAAAGCGCTCATGACGAGATAGTAACTTGAGATCATTGATATACAAAAAACCCAAGATGCACAGTCTCGAATAAAAGTAACGCTCTAAAGTGTCCCGAAACACTATTTCTGTCCATAACAGTATATGTTACAAGCATATATTATTGCAAAATCAACCTTACGCGAATTGCTTAAAGTTGTTATTACAACGCAGTGTATACGTACTTAAAGCAATAAAATTTTACGACCGACCGTGGTCGGTAGGACAAGGTATTGAGTGGAGTCGAACATGACTTTTTATTTACAACTATTTAACATAATTTTAAATTTATCCGACTTTTCGGGTGCTTTACGGCGTGAGTGGTCACGGTGACTGAAGACAAAAGGTGTTGGATGTTAAATAGTTGTAAATTTATAATAATACATAACATTAATCCGGTTAAAAAGTTTTTTCTTTAAATTAAAAAAAAATGTTAAATTGGCTACCTCCTGACCCACACTTTATATAGCGTAAATATATTTGTCAAAAACTACACACAAAAAAGTTCAAGAGTACATAAATTTATTTATAAAAAAAACACAAATAAATAACATCGACTCCACTTGTAGACGCGAGACTATTTGAAATGAGCGCACAATTTAGAATGTTGCGCTCATTTTTTGAGGACGTTTTTTTGACGTTGAGTGTGCATGTTGGGTTTTTTGTATATCAATGCTTGAGATACATAAATTTTCGTATTTTTGTTAAATACGTATTTCTTATAATTACGATCGATTACATAGGGACAACATTATATTTTTAATTACGCCATGAAACAATTTTAATCATGAATAATGAAATTTATTATCCTGTATTTTTTTCTTTATCTATATTCAATGCATCTTTAACATTATATAGTCTCTGACAACGTTAATGTGTGTATTTTATCTTGTATTTAGCCATCATCACAACGGATGTATTGTATCTAGATCTCTTGTTAGTGAACATTTCTCCCCCACATTCGTTTTCAATCACACAGCCTATATGACACAAAGTTACAATGAAAACTCTATTCAAAAGATTCACAAATAAACAAAACAATTCTAAACATCAATTTGAATTGTGCCTTACAATGTAATTAACGTAAAATAATACTCTTAGACGGTAAAATATCGGTACCTTAGAAGTAAGATCCCTGTGGAAGACGCCAAGAGAATGCAGATACATCAGACCCTCAGCCATGTCTGCGGCCAGCGACACGCGCAACGGTTGCGGCAGAGGCTCAGGTGGTCTGCTGAGGATAAGCTGTTCCAATGAACCGCCCTCCATGAACTCAGTCAGTGCGTGGAGCTGGCCTTCGTGCACGCAGACACCCATGAACCTGGAATTGAGTTTTCAAATTGTTGAACTTTACTCTGTGATAAGAGATGATGCTGTAATCTTCCGAAGACGATTCCCAATATTCATTCCAAGGATCTTAAAGACTGAGATAAACAATGAAAAGTAAAAAAGACATCTCGAGTGCGAACCATCTCAAACCGAATTTCTAATTAGCTTTTCTAAATCTGTTTACGTAAACTTATTAACCCTACATTAAAACTAATAAATTCAAACTAATTTACCTTAACATCTAATCAAACAAGTATAATACATGTACCCCTCTGTTTGTACATTGATCCGGCCGTAATGAATAGCAAATTATAATCCTACATATAATCCTATGAAACATTGAAAACGATATTGATGAGCGAATGTTACGTAAATATTAACGAAGCAAATTCTCTAACATTCATATTATTGAAGACAATAATTATAACCGTTCCTAGAATGTTTGCAATTCAAGGCGAAAAAAATATTGAAAAAAAAAGGCGAAATATTTAAAATATCTATATGTCGTGGGCTTATCGTTAGATTGGCCAGATCGAGATATGCCCGGGCACTTCTTGAAACGCCGGCACATCATGATTCGGCCGGGCATATCGCGATGCGCCAAGTAAAAGGTTGGGCAGATCGACGAGAATAACGTATTTGTCGATATTCCGCTGTCTTCGCGCGCTCGGCTTTGTTTACGCGAGCGGAAGATGGCGGCGTTACAAACAAGTGAATGTGGTGTTGATATTATCAAAATGAACAGTGAAAACGAAACAAAAAGTGCATTTAAAGAACAATATTACCATCAGTTACTTGATTTCTATGAGGGACATAAAGATTCTTCGCACAATGTAAAAAAACCATGGACTTCTCAACGTATTTTAGAGGTTAGTATTTAGTTGATAAACAAGTGTTTATTTTTGCATAATAATGTGTAGGTGATGCGTTTCTCTCATGTCATTATGTATTAAAATTCTTAGATTGATTAAGTAACTAATGTTTGTACGCTAAAGTTCCATTTTATTTTTTAGGTTATTGAACAAATAAAAAGAAGTAGGGTGACCATGCAGCGGGTCTCTTCGGACTATTATTGGAGTGCAAAATATGATGTCATGGAAACTTCTGACAAAGATTACTTAATTTTCAAAAGAAAAACTGCCGATGATCCTACAGTGCGCATAGTCGCCGTAGATGAATATTTTGATATATTAACAGAAGTTCACAAAGCTGTTGGGCATGGTGGCAGAGAAAAAATGATATATAGTATTAAAAACAAATTTCACATACCGAAAAAAGCTATAGAAATATACATTAAATTGTGTGCAGTGTGTGAAATGAAACGTTCCATGCCAAAAAAAGGTATAGTGACAAAACCAATTATATCACCAGATTTCAACTCACGAGGTCAGGTAGACCTTATTGATTTACAATCAGCTCCGGACGGGGAATACAAGTGGTTAATGAATTATCAGGACCATGCAACCAAGTTTCTACACTTGAGGCCATTGAAATCTAAGAGGGCTGTGGAGGTGGCGTTTGAACTATTTAAAATATTTTTGGAGTTTGGTGCACCATTAATTTTACAATCTGATAATGGGAAAGAGTTTACAGCTCATGTCATTGAAGAACTTGTGCAGTTGTGGCCAGAATGCAAGATCGTTCATGGAGGCCCTAGACGTCCTCAAACGCAAGGAAGCGTCGAACGTAGCAACCAAGACGTAGAAAACATGTTGCGTTGTTGGATGAAAGATAATGATTCTGCTAATTGGTCTGTGGGTTGCTACTTCGTACAGTATTATAAAAATTCATCTTTTCATCGTATAATTGGTAGATCACCCTATCGTGCCTTGTTCGGTTCTGACCCCAAAACATTACTGAAAGGTACTAATATCCCGGACAGTGTTATTTCATCTATTCAAACTGAAAAGAAGAATACTACGACAACCTCGATGGAGATAATCTTGCCTGAAGGGACAAATGTTGATGGCTTAAGTAGTAAAGCACTAACGCTTGATGTTGAGATGGTTTCGGCCGAAATAAATGTTCCTAAAGCATTAAGTGTACAGAACGTCCTAACAAGTGTAAATTCGGCAACGGCGCTTGCCAATCAAGATCTGAAAATAGAAAATATTGAAACCGCCGAACAAAAACTTGAAGCAACTAATTGTTCACCCAGAAATGATACGTCCTGTATAGAAGATTTAGCTTTGCAAACTGTTAACAGAGCTTCTACTAGCAAAGATGTTTTTGTCGTTTCAATTCAAGGGGTTTCAGCCAGTAGCGACACGTCACTAACGACTAAGAAAGCCGACTGCAATACGCAGATTTGTTTGGTTTGTACCAAAGAAACAACTGGAGCTCATAGTTGTAGATCGTGCTTTAAACCAGTTCACGTTATATGTGGTCTCACTGACGGTGAAGAAGGTTACGGGTCTCAGATTTTATGTTTCATATGCAAAAGAGAACAAGACATTGCAAAAGAAAGAGCACAAACTCTTAAAGGTACCAAACGGGCTGCAGAAAAAATGATTGACCAAACAGTCAAAAAGCTTCCGTTATTAGAAGTTGGTAATAGCGTCTTGATAAATGTTCCAAAATTTGATCGTGGACCACTTGATACCAAGAACATCGCAGGTAAAATTGTTGACATTAGGAATGGTGTATTTAAAATTGGTACTACTTCTGGAACAATAAAAAACTGGTTCCCGAGACAAGAATTACAAATTTCAGCCAAAGATTATAATGGAGACATTTCTGAATCATTTATAACATTGCGTCATGCAGTCACATGTCAGTCCATGTTTGGAGGTCAAGGTTTCCAGAAATGCTCCTGCAGGCCTGCCAGAAATCAATGTCACACCAAAAGGTGTGCATGTTATAAGAATAATGTTCTCTGCACTTCAAAATGTCATCAAAGTATATCATGCATCAACAAATGATAGATATCTCAAAAAATATTTGACTTTCCTTTAATATTCAATACAAAGTTTATTTTCAACTGATTAAGTCTGTTGTTAGTCTGATTGAGGAACACTTTTTAAGTAGGTACCTATTTAATGTTTATAAACATTTTTTAATTTAATTTCTCTTTCTGCATGGCGGTTGTCGGGTTGTATTACCTATTTCTAAAGATTTTTTAGGTATTTAAATGTTACGAACGTTTGGTTTGTTATCTTATTTTATTACCAAAGGGCTGTGATTGAATGTGCCATTTTTAGAATTTTTTGACGATGTTATTAATGTTTGTCATATTTAATAACAAATAATAGGTAACTATTCTTTGAAAAACTATTTGACGTTCCTATTAATATAAGTTTGTTTTCAACTGATTAATGAGTCTGATTATTTAGTTACACTTTATTATTTAAATAACTCATTTTTAATGTTATTCATTATTTTTTAACATTTTCATTTAATTCTAGCTGTTGCTCGTACGTGCCGTTTTCTACGTGATGGCTGTGTTAACATTTTATTAAACCTTACTGTTTATATACATATTTTATTTGCCTCAAATAGGCGTTTTGTTATTTTCTCTCCAAAGAACTGTGATTCTATGTGCCACATTTGGAATTTTAAAAAATAATGTTAAGTTAGAGCTTCATAACAATAATTATTTTCAATTTTAATAAACATTTTAATTCTTAACTTTATTTTTATTTGCTAAAACCTTGGACACCCTACATAATCGATATGCCTAAAGTATCTCTGGCCAAATCGCCAAACGTTAAGTGTTGAACGATATGCCCTGTGTTGGATGGCCAGATCATGATGTGCCGGAGTATCACGTTCTGCCTGGGCATATCTCGATCTGGCCAATCTAACGATAAGCCCACGACATATATAATAATTATTATAATACTATCTAATAAGAGCAGTGTTGGCCTAGTGGATTCAGCGTGCGACTCTCATACCTAAGGTCGTAGGTTCGATCCCCGGCTGTGCACCAATGGACTTTCTTTCTGTGTGCATTTAACATTTGCTCGAACGGTGAAGGAAAACATCGTGAGGAGACATGTCTTAGACTCGAAAAGTCGACGGCATGTGTCAGACACTGGAGGCTGATCACCTACTTGCCTATTAGATTTAAAAAATGATCATTAAACATCTTCAGAAATCTGAGGCCAAGATCTAAAGGTTGTAGCGCTACTGATTTTTTTATTTAAAATATCTGTCTAATAATTTGTGTTATTATTTTTTAATTTTTTGTGGGTTCAGCTTTTGTGCCTTCCACATAAATGTTTCAGGGAGAACCGAGAACGACTAAGTTACGTGTTTACCTTAACAGTGTTACGGAAGTACACGCAATTTTTATTTGCTTTAAAATCTCGATCATTTTTATCCTATTAAAACATTAGAGAATTAAGAATTGTGTAACTTGATACCAAATAATTCTAGTCAAAGTTGCGGGCGCTTTCCAAGATACAATGGCGTGGAAAACAAACAATTCGTAAGATATTTCATAAGTGATGCTTTGACCTTATAGGTCCTTTCCCCTCATCAAAATTCATAAGCACGATGCTCGAATTCAGTTTGTTTACACGTAGAGTCAGATGTTATTAACTTCGTACTTGGAAACTGCCGTGTAATACTTTTAAGGGGAAGGCGGAAGATTTCTGAAGGCAATGTGCAGGTCTGTTATTATGTGGAAGAGGTTTTGGATCAAGTTCCGATGAATTATAAATATTAACTAAACAAATTTCATTTTTGACATAATAAAAATTATATTTGTTGCAGAAAGTGCATTGGGGATTCGCTAGGATGCCCTGTGTCGTGCGCAGCTAGTTTCTTCCAATTGACATATTAAGGATTTTAGGCACTGGAAGCTATACCACCACCTGATAATTAAGAACTGTCCAATCGTATAGTTAAACCATTAATTTCAAAACATTACAAATTCATTCCAAGTCCAAGGGAAGGTGGAAGGCGCAAGACCGCGCAGAAGGTCATCTACGCGTTGGACTCACCAGATCAAGTCTGCCGTAGCAGGTTCACTCAATAATGCAGCA